AACTTTGCTACTAGTGCTGGAGCAAGATGATACCTCATTGTTTTGATTTGCATCTCTCTAGAGTCAGGGCGACTCGATGGCAAATAACAACAACAATGGCTAATGATACTGAGCATTTCTTCATGTGTTTGTTGGCTGCCTGAATATCCTCTTTGGTGAAGTGTCTATTCATGTCTTCTGCCCATTTTTTAATTAGATTATTTGTCTTTTTTATATTGAGGTTTGGAGTTTTCTATAAATTCTAGAGCTAAGTCCCTTGTCAGATAAGTCTTTGCCAAATATTTTTTCCCGATGTGTAGGTTCTCTTTTGACTCTTTTGGAGAAGTCTTTGGAAGCACATAAAAATTTAATTTTTAAAAGATCCCATTCATCTAGTTTCTCTTCTGCTGTTTGTACATTTTGGGTTATGCTTGATAGTGTATTTATGCCATATATTAGGGCTCCTAAATTTGCCCCTGGGGAGCTCTGGTAGCAGAGTGGCTAAGGCACTTGACTGCTAACCAGAAGGCTGGAGGGTCAAACCCACCAGCCATTCCTCGGAAGGAAGATGGGGCAATCTACTTCCATAGTGATACTGCCTCAGAAACCCAAGGAGGGGTCACTGTGAGTTGGGTCCGACTTGACGGCACATAACAACAACAACAACAGATTTGCCCGTAGTTTTTCCTTGAGGAACTCTGTAGTTTTAGGTTTCACATTTAAGTCTTGATCCATCTAGAGTTAGTTTTTGTATATGGTGTGAGGTACAGATCTTGTTTCATTTTTCTGCAAATGGATATCCAGTTTTGCTGGCATCATTTATTTTACAAATATTCTCTTCCTCATTTAATGGATTTTGGCCCTTTGTCAAAGGTCAGATGACCATAGGTTGATGGATTTTTTCTGGGTTATCAGTTCTATTCCATTGGTCTGTGTGTCTGTCATTGTACCAATGCCAAGCAGTTTTGACTACTGTGGCTGTGTAGTAGGTTTCGAGATCTGGCAGTGTGAGACCTCCTGCTTTGCTCTTCTTTATAGTGCTTTGCTTATCCGAGGTCTCTTTCGTTTCCATATAAAGTTAGTGATTGGTTTTTCCATGTCCTTAAATAATGTTGATGGTATCTGGATTTGGATTACATTGAATGTATGGGTTGCTTTGGGTAGAATTGACATTTTCACAATGTTCAGTCTTATCCATGAGCATGGGATGTTCTTCCATTTATGTAGATCTCTTATGGTTTCTTGAAGTAATTTTTTACAGTTTTCTTTATACAGGTCTTTTGTGTCACTGGTAAGATTTATTCCTGAGTATTTTATTTTTTTGGTGGTGGTTACGAGCCGTCGAGTCGGACCCGACTCATAGCAACCACTCATTGGGTTTCCGAGGCAGTATCACTACGGAAGTAGATTGCCTCATCTTCCTTCCGAGGAGTGGCTGGTGGGTTTGAACTGTCAGCCTTCTGGTTAGCAGTCAAGTGCCTTAGGCACTTGTTGTTGTTGTTGTTATGTGCCGTCGAGTCGGCCCCGACTCATAGCGACCCCTCCTTGGGTTTCTGAGGCACTACACTACTGTAAATGGTATAGATTTCCTTATTTCTTTTTCAGCAATCTCTTTGCTCTGGTGTAGAGGAATCCAACTGATTTTTAGATGTTGATCTTGTATCCTGCTATGATGCTAAATCTTTCTATTAGTTCAGTAGATTTTTGACTGAGTCTCTTGGGTTTTTAGGTATAGGATCATATCATCAGCAAATAAGGATAGTTTGACTTCTTCCTTACCAATTTGGATGCCTTTGATTTCCTGTTCTTGCCTTATGGCCCTGGCTAGGACTTCCAGTACAATGTTGAACAGAAGTGGTGATAAGAGGGCATCCTTGTCTGGTTCCTGTTCATAAGAGGAATGGTTTCAGTCTCTCTCCATTGAGTATAATGTTGGCTGTTGGTTTTGCATAAATGCCCTTTATTATGTTGAAGAATGTCCCTTCTATTCCTATTTTGCTGAGAGTTTTGATCAGGAATGGGT